TGCTCATAAGAGGGTGGAACACTTCTCTGCATTTGGGGACTCAGGGGCAAAGGGAAATGAGAAACTTCAAGCTTTTAGTTAGATACCTCTCTTTCTAGCTCTGGCTTTTCTTTCACTGAAGGAGTATGGATTTTATTTTAGAGGAAATGTGCGTATTGTATCCCAAGTCAACAGTGATACATGGCCCCTAACAAGTATACCTGTGGGGAAAGCTTTGGTTGGCACATTGGAGAATATGGGAGGGCTTCCCCCCATTTATAAACTAGGGGTTGCGTCTATTTGCTTTATGTGCTGTGCTGTTGGGTTTTCTCCTATTTTCCCTAAGCTAAGCTCTAAGCTAATTCTGTACAAAAGAAATACTAATTAGTTGTTTTTATAAATTGCTTGCGATTAATGCCTGATAATACGCAGTAAAATAAGGTTTCTGCATACCATTATGTATGTCAAATATTACAAACTTTAAGGTTCTTTTGAAATTATAATACTAAACTCAGTTCACTTTTGCTTAGCCTTCACAGTTGTTGATCACATAGCATGGTCATCCACTCACAGCTTAAAAAAATACAGGGAGCATCGGAGAGAATGGGTAAAGTAAAATTTTGATGTTTTTAAAATAGCACCTAAATCTGTGAAAGTTGATTTGAATTATTGTTTGTATGGGTGGGAGAGGGTGGTGGCACTAGAGGGCTGGGGGTGGATATTGGGAAAATAGCATGCACCATGTAAAATGATGTTGCATACCATCTAGGCTGAGGTTTTAAGTGTTACTACTATAGTTTCATACTAAGTCAGTTTCAGAAAAGGCAGGACCATAAAATGGTTGTTGAGATTTATAGTGTGCTTAAATTTTCCCTCCCAACCGATTGAAGGGAATTGGAGAATAGCAGTATTTGAGTACAGTTTGGACAGGACTTTTTTTTTTTTTAGAGTGTTCATATTCCCTGAGTGAAACTGCCTCAGTACCACCTTAGGCTCTGTTGCATTACTGAAAGACCTCGAGAGGAATAATATGCATTCCAGTTTTTATTGTACACCTGTGATTCAGGTGTTCCCAAATAGAAGTTATAATTCATGAAACTCATGAAGGGGTTAAATAAAAAGATAGAGATGAAGAGAGTTGTTACTCTACAGTGAGCTGCTTGGTAGAAAATAAAAATAGAAAATTTGATGCTTCCATTTAAATGAAGAACACTTTGCCTGCCAAAGTTCTAAATCAAGTTTCTAATTCTAAAAACTTGACATTGTAGTTATGTACAGTCTGTGATAAATTATTGTGGAGGTTATAGGGCAGAGAGACATTCATGTTTTTATGGGTAGGACATTTTGTTGTTGTTAACTCAAATAACTTAGCCTAATCTTTGCCCCATTACTTTTTTAACTTTAATTTTTTTTTTTTTACTTTGTTTACACCCAAAATCTGGATTGAAGAAAAAAATGGAAAAATTATTGAATTAATCAGATTTTATCCGTAAAATATTCTAGCTCCAACTTTGCTGTTTCCCCTACATGAAGCCATTTGCCAAAGCCAAATATGATTTACTTACTATTCCTCAAAACTTCCTACCTCTATAAACTTTGTCAAAGATACTACTCCTGTTTGGAATATTCTTTTTTCTCCTTTGGTCTAAGTCCTATCTTTCCTTCAAATTTTGGCTTGTACTTACTTATATGACGCCTTTTCTAACCCTTCCAGTCCTTGGTGGTCATTCTCCTCTTAGAATTTGTAAGTACTACTATTTGAAACATCCATTTGGCACTTGGATCATGCTACATTGTATTATTACTTGCTACTTCATTTGAATGTCCTATTTTTCTAGCAAAATCACGGGCTTCTTGAGGGTGGAGAGCTTATCTTCTATGCCTCTTTGTAACCTCATTGTTTACCACAGAGGATGTGTTCACTCATGGGTTTGATTCGATGATTTCCATCCAGTGTTAGTGTAACAGGGCAATTGTTTTTATTAATTTAGGTTATTTTTATATGAATATATGCCCAAAAAACACAAAGATAAAGTACATTGAATGTATGAAATAATTCCTTGTATTATAAGAAGATTTGGTTTATATTCCCTCTGGACTGTAATTCCCCTGCCCCCCCCCCTTTTTTTTTCAAATGGGCGCTGTTTTACCTAGTTTTGAAAAACATGGTTTGGGCCAGATATCTTGACAGAAACCAAATTTACCGGTATTTTTATTTAAAATTTTTTTGTTGGTTTAGTCAAATTATACTAACATGGCATAAGCCCAAATTTATTAAATGCTACATGGACATGGTAATGTAGACAATTATTTTCTTTCTCTCTGAAGTATAAAACTTAAAAAATACCAGTAAGCAGATACTCAGTTGTTAGTCCCTCTCAGGGTATTTCTGTATCACAAATTATTAGGGGTTTTCTTATTTCATTGTTTTAAAAGTTTCTATAAAGTATAGGCTGATTTTTGATAGCTGTGTATATTGTGTTTACTACAGTTATCAAATGTATATAGAGCAACCATTTATATACAGTGAGAAGGTATCTTATATACTTTCTGGCATTTATAGAAACTGATTTCTTTTAAAGCTCATCAGGGATGTTTGCTAAATTGATATTTGGAATTGTTTATATTTTATCTGACAGCTGTGTCTTCAGGACACACATGTCTTAACATTAGATTTAATGTTGTGATTTCTGAAGCAAAAACAGTCGCCCTACTTGATGAAATGTCTGATTGGTAAAACTGTGAATTTTGATTTCATTCTAAGGCCTGGCTTATAGTCTTGAGCCATTAGTTTGACAGAGCACAGAAAAGATACTGCTGTTGTATTACTGAAAAGCTCAGATACTTGTAGCAGGGGGACTCCTAGTTATGGAAGATACTTTTTTTCTCTGCTTAAAAATACGCACATCATCTTTAAATTTCTTAGCATAATTTGGGTACAGATTTAAAATAAAACTTTCTTTTTTTATATGCCAAGAAGCAAACAGCCTCTAATTCATTGCCATTCTGGTGTGTGCCTATCATAGTATCATTTTTACAGGAGCTTAAGTCCCTCACTAAAGTCTGAATGAAATATACGTTTTAAAAAAACATTTTTAAAACCCCAGTTGGCCCAACGACCACTTTCAAGAGCTCCAGCCTTGGACTTTTACCTATCGTTGGTCATATTCTTTTCTAGGGTTACACACTTGTTAAGTCAATATTTAAAAAAATAAAACACCCTGATTTTGTTCACTTTTGTTTTCATATACAAGAATCTTTACAGTCAACGTGTACTCTAGATGCTGTATTGAAATTGCTGGCAGAGTCTATTCTATACAAACTGAACAATCTGGCCCCTTGTTTTATTTGTAAAGGTTCAATGTATCTATGCCTGCCTACTTCAATCTGCAAGGGAGTGTCAGAAAGGCCCCGCATTCGCCGAGCCGTGAGTTATTGCTAACTTTTCAGATGTGTTAATGAATGTGGAACAAAAGCAGTTGTGTTTAAAAGGAAAAAAGGATCATCAAAATTACCTTTATTATAGTAGCAGGCGTGAACACTAAATGAATTATCCCAAATTGTGGTGTCAAAAATAACCTACTTTAACTAGAGACTAGCTTCTAGAAAACCTATTGTTGAAATGCTCTGAAGCTATTATTTTAGCTCTAAATTACTGTTCTTAAAAATATATCCTGGTTACAAATCAGAACGTTCTTTAAATCTTTTTGACTACATTAAAACAATTTGAACAAAATCTTACCCCACCTAAAAATGATAGTGTTTAGTTGACTTTGAGTTAAGCTCTTCAAAATAAAACCATGTAAAAGGGGTAATGTTTTAACCTTTTTTGTAATTCACATGTGAAAAAATAGAAATTCAAATATTTGGATTACTTCCTAGGTGAAAGTTTCTGGAGTGCTCCAGGCATCATGTGAAGTACAGCAGTATTTACAATCTATTTTGGTACCAACAGTTCTCGCTTCAGTAATTCACCAGTAGGTTTTCATTCATCAATGATGATATCAATTTAAGGCTAAAATAAAAGCACTACATTTTTTAGGGCTATCACTCTACATAAAGGAATCGTCATTAAGAGTTTTTTTCTTTTTTCCCCCCAAATAGATTCTAAGCAAAAAAAAAAAAAAGTAACTGTCATCTATATTTTGTTATTAGAGTTAGTTACCATTTTTTTCTTAGAATCTGTAAACTTTTTAGTGGATAGGCATCATTAGTAGGTTGGATGCTTCTGTTGCTTAGGAGTTGTATTGTGTTATATGAAGACAGAGTAAATTTAAATGTACCCAGTTAGGCCATATATAGCACAGGCTACATAAAACTTGGAGGTGTGGGACCTTTGGAGGCATTACAGTTAACTTTTCATTTAGGCAATGTGCCTTTGTTTGACTGGTGTGTAAGTCCTTCTTCCAGGTTTGTACGCTCTTAAACACGTTATTCTACCCTCTCTAACTCCTCCCAGCAGCAAAAGGGAGACACTTCAGCTGGAACAAAATAGTGGAAGAAATGGCGTCTGGGGTTCAGTGGGGATTCGCAGTGTGTATGCAATGTTTGCAAGATTACTTTTTATGTTTTTCAATTAATGTAAATAATTACAAAATAAATCAATGCTTAGTATCAAGTAGGGAACATTGTATACCAATAGAACTCTCCTAGTGGGTCTGCTGCAAGTCGCTTAACCTCTCCAGGCCACAGTTTCTCATCTGCAGTGTGAAGGAGTTGGACTCAATAATTGTTAAGGTCCATTCCTGCTCTAAATCCTATGCTTTTCTGAATTACTTTAACAGAATGCATTGCTTTCCCACTTTGACTATTTGAATTACATGTGCAGTACACATACTGCAACTGCATGTTGTCTAAAATAGTTTTTCTGTAAGATATTATATAAAAAACTAATCCCTCTTGAGCTGATTTATAAATGTGTGTCTAGCCACACATTAAAAGCTAGTGATAGTAGGGCTTTCAGATAATAAACATTTTCCAGATGTCTAACCTTGAATGTTATTAACTTTCCTATATTACAGGAGATACTACTCGTCAACGAATCAAATTCAGTGATGACAGAGTATGCAAGAGTCACCTTCTCAACTGTTGCCCCCATGATGTCCTCTCTGGGACTGTACGTATTTATCAAATCTATTATTTGATAATTGCATTCTAAAAATTGAACTACTTGATAAAGTTTTTTTTCTTAATCTTTTTGTTTTTTCTTTTTTTACTTTACTACTTAATAAAGTTAATTCCTTGTTGAATTATTATACATGATTTAAAAAAACACATACTGCTGTTAAAGGTGGGATTTTCATCCCGTATTTATTTAGGTTAGTGATTTAATTTGCAATAATGGTATTTCTCACAAAATTAATTACTATGCTTTGGTTTATAATTTTTTCCATTCCTCAGGGCAGGTTTTTAAAAAATTATTTCTTTTTGAAAATGCAGACACACTTGTTAAATAGCAGTTGCAATTTTAGTTCAGAAATAATACAAATGATTTTATTAGTTTTCTTTACTCTTGAGCAGAGTAGACTTTTATACAAAACACCATATATTTTTATTAAAATTTGTGCATATTTATATTGTGGAAATTATTGTGGGGAAAATATATTAGTAAATAAATTCACATAGCTTAATTGTAATTAGTGTTGTCACTTAAACTTCATTTATATTGCTGACTCAGTTACTTAATTTAGGTTCTATGTGTAATGATGTTGGTAGATCTTAGAGTATCATCATTTTAATTTCGAAGACAATCCACATGATGATGAACTTATTTATTTATTTATTTATTTATTTAAATGAGAAAGACTTTGGATCCATTTATTTATTTTTATCCTCACCCGAGGATCCATTTTTTGTTCAGATAGAGTCGGGGAGAGAGAGAAACATCACCCTGAAAGGGACACATCGAGTGGTTGCCACCCACACAACCCAACCAGGGCCGGGGACAAATTGCAACCGAGGTACATGCCCTTAGCGGGAACCGAACCCCGGTTTCCCTGGACCGCAGGCTGATGCTCTAACCGCTAAGCCAAGCCGGCCAGGGCGATGATGGACTTATTTAAATGGGACAAAGGATTTGATTCCCTTTGGTTTTTATTTGTTTGAAATACTTACTCACTGCAAGAGCTTCCCTGAACAGGCTGCATCTGATGGTGGGGGAAGACTAGTGGGGCTGAACATTTAGTTGATTTTATTTCTCATTTGCCAGAAATGACTGAAATGAATAGATTTCTGACTTAGATTTTCAGAAGTGATGAATTCCCTTAAAAATGTCCAGATGAGTGGTTAATTCATGATAGAAAGAGTTAAATGCCCAAACAGATAGGTATCGAGGCATATAAACTAGGAAGCACCTCTTTTTTCAGTAGGAAAGATTACTGAAATTGTATTATGCTAAAATGAAAAAAAAAGGGGAGCTTACATTAAAGAAATGTGTATATAATACTAATTTTTTATTTTTTTTATTTTTTATCCTCACCCGAGGACATTCTTCGATATTTTGTTCAGATAGAGTGGGAGGGAGAGAGAGAGAGAGAAACATCGACATGAAAGCGACACATCGAGTGGCTGCCACCCACACGACCCAACCAGGGCCGGGGACAAACTGCAACCAAGGTATGCGCCCTTAGCGGGAACCGAACCCGGGTCTCTCTGGACCGCAGGCTGACGCTCTAACCGCTGAGCCAAACCGGCCAGGGCATAATACTAATTTTTTAAAAAGGAGAATACCACAATGAAAGCCAGTTTCTGAGCACTAGAGTTGGTGCTATGACAGATAATTAACCCTGGTATCTACTCTTCAGAATTTCCATAAAGTATTTTGTACTGTGTTATAATAGAAATCTATAAAATCTATAATTATCTGTAGTATACTTTGATTCTGCACATTTACTATTAAAATCAACAGTTAAAGCCATTTTATTTACTGGCTCAATTATCACTTCAACTAAATTTTGAGAACAAAATTAACAAAGTAGCAGAATTTTGTGGGGTTTTTTTGTTTGTTTTTTAATAAAGACCAACCATTGCAAGACTTTGACATATTATATTCTTCAAGTATGGCATGAATAAAATGTGACACCACAGTTGTGCTTTACATTTTAGGTGTACATATTGTAGTTATGCTCATTTATTTCTTAAAACAATTCTGTGAGGTATATGATCTACTTATTCAAAATCATTCAGTTCTATTGATTTAAAGTACAATGGGACCAAACCCAAATTTTCTGAGGTGTAGTCTTATTCAACATGTTTTCTATTTTGTAGGGAATGTTCTTCATCATGTTAAATAAAAAGGGTGAGTGGTTGGTCTTGGACTTTTCTTATAAAATTCTTTCTGTTGGATGTATAAGATGCACAGTTTTTCCAAAATTTAACATCTCTGAAATAATGCATCTCAAAGTTGTTGGAAGAAAAATACTATCTTAATTGGTAACATTTTCCTCACAGTGCAGAATTTATTTATTTATTTTTATTTTTTAACTTTTTTTCCAGTGCAGAATTTAAGGATGAGGCTTAAAATTGATATCTTGGATTATATGAAAAACAGTTACTAAGGAAAGCCCTCCTAAAGGCACTTGCCAGTGAAACTCTGGACAAGAAATGTTTTCCTTTTGTCAGTGAAATATAGAAGATATTGTCATATGTAGGAATGTGGTTTAGTAGTTGTGAACCTCTTTCAGAATTTAAACAGTTTTAAGGATTGGCTATATAGGACTTTGTGAAATTCCAGAGTTGTCCTAGCGTAGTGTCCTTGAGAACTTAAAACCATCTATAGTGTGACTTTCCCATGACCCTTATTACTAAAAGGGGCTATTTGTAACAGTTCATCCTATGTAGAAATGGTTTGTAATTACAGAGCTATAACTTCTTTAACAACCCACCTCGGTAGAACAAATGCTTTTCTGGCACAGTTCATACTTCTTTATGTTGAAGGTGTTTATTCCTTTTTTTTTCTTTACATAATTAGATAAAGAATGCAAAGAAAGGAATTGTAACTGTTGATTTTTATAATGCCTTTTCTTTCTTGTATAACTAAAGGATGCCCTTTAGTTTTCATGACCTTGTTCCTCAGATCTGTCACTTCCAACAGAATATGATTCACCAATATTTTGTATTATTTAGCAGAAGAATACATAGAAATGTATTCTCTGGCTTTATTCATTATAAGCGGTTGAACTTTATATCAAACACTTGGAGATGGAGAGTGTGATTTCTAAAAATGTACTCAACTGACTATTAGTATGGAATATTTTTGGAATTCAGTTTGATGAAAATGCCCCCGTAACATTTTACCTTTGATTAATCTGATACTCTGTTACAACTAATTCTTTAGCTAATTATTCAGAGGAGGAAAAATGTAGAGCAAAGAAAACAATTTGTGTGTGTGTGTGTGTGTGTGTGTGTGTGTATCTTTGGATTATGATTTTTATAAGGAGCATGAATATTTCTTATAACTTAGGAAGTTATTGTTTTCCAAAGGCTTGGGTTGTTTTCCTATTCATCTAGAATATTTTCTTGTTTTAGTTCTTTCTTCCCCTTGGCACACTTGGTTTCTCCCTGTTCTGTTCATCCTCCTTCAGATTTAGGCAAAACAAAACACCAAAGCAGAGTTGTCCTCCCCTGCCCCCAGCACATTAATTCTGGTACATAGCTTCCCTGAGGAAAGATAAGTATATATTGAAGTGTTTTTTTTTTTTGTTTTTTTTTTAATCTTCCCATTTGGTTTCTAGTGATCTGAGAAAAAGGTATGTGATAGTAATAATTTACAGAAGGTATTAAATCTAAAGCAGAGATAGTAACAAGGGCTTGAAGTTAAGATCTGCAGAGATGGGAATGTATACTCTCATAATGTACCTGGCCTAAGTTCAGAAATGCCACTACTGATTTTATTATAGCCTTCATCATAGTATAATTTTAGTGTTGACAGTTCATCATATCTTCTTGCATAAGGTCATTTCCTAGGTGGGAAAAAATTAAGGCTCAGAGAAGTGCTAGCCAGATGTCTCTTAATTAAAGAATCACAGTATATTATGCCACATGGGAATCTCAGAGTAATTTAAATACTTTTAAAAATGTTTTTTGTTGTTAGTGTTTTTAGATAACAAAGTTACCTAGCGTCGTGACTTTTAGGTGTTTTTGAAATGTCCTTGGAGGCTTTGCATGTACTAAGGATATGGGCATAGGCCAGTCTTTCCTATTTCAAGTAGAATTTTTCACATTTTAAATATAGAAAATTTTCTTGAAATTTTGTTTAAATACATAAATTCTGCTCAGAAATAGAATTTAAATTTAAAGAACTGATATTGAGAAATACTTAAGGACAGGGATAAAGTAAAATTTAATCTGCCTTTTTGAAGTGATTGGATGAGAGTTATTGTCAAAAATTCTGATTGAGTTCATTTTATGGTGCCCTAATAGGTTGTGGGTTTTATCTGAAGTGCAATTTTTACTAATTGAAACTCCTTTATTGCTTCTCTAACTCTTTCTTTTAAGGCCTGGTCTAAAATCAGTTACTTGGGTGCATTCAAACCTGAACTTTAAAACTGCTGAAGTCTCTTTGATAGTACATATGTAAAAGAGCCATGAAAGTATGGAGAAGCAGAATAAGTGATAAGAAGTAAACCTGCACAAAATTTTCTCAACCAGCCACTAGAATGTAAGTTTCATTATAAGGGCAGGGACATTGTTTTGTTCAGTGCTATATCCCCAGCATATAGAACAGTGTCCCTCCATTGTGTTGAATGAATAATCGATCCACCCAAAAGTAGAATGCTCAATAAATAAATCTGTTTCAAAAACTAACTTTGAGTTTCAAAAATTGATCACTGTTAGTGGGAAATGTGTTACCTTTTAACAGATAAGGAGCTGGAGAGTATTTTTGTTTTATTGAGTTGCTTATCAAATTATGACTGCAGTGTTTTCACAAGCAGATGTGAAAAAATTAGTCTGTAGATGTTTTAAACTTTCTCTTCCTCAGAAATAGTTTGTTTTGGGCCACTTTGTTTTTTTAATCCTCACCCGAGGATATTTTGATTGATTTTAGAGATAGAAGAAGGGACAGATAGAGAGAGAAACATCATTGAGAGAGAGAAACATTGACAGGTTGCCTCTAGT